ATCCTGGGCTTTCAGCTACTGTACATTGGCATCCTTACATCATTGATAAAAATACTGCAAAACATGGAGAAAATTACATGGATTATAATATCAGACGATGGGGTGGAGATGGATGGACCCAGTCATTGAGGAAATCAGGTAAAAAGATTGGCCTGGAGTTTAAAAATTGGCAGACATGGCCCAACACTTTACATGGCCATCGACTAATACATTTGACAGGGGAACAACAAGGTCCGAAGGGTCAGAATGCAGCAAAAGATTTGCTATTCAGCATGATTTATGAAGAAGGAAGGAACATTAGTGAAATTGATACCCTTGTAGAAGCYGCACACAAGCTCCATCTTGAAGGTGCTGAAAAATACCTTAAATCCGACAAGGACACAGATGTTATATTATCAGCAGATGCTAATGCTAAAAMAAGCTTGAGGATATCAGGTGTTCCGTATTTCATCTTCAGAGACAAGCAGAAATCATATACTCTTTCTGGAGCTCAACCATCAGATAATATCCTGCAAGTCTTGGGGCACTTGAAACACTAACAAGTTTCTAGCTGGCTTTACTGTGTGGACACACTAACCGGGACTACTTAAAGTGCCCCTAATGCCTAATCACAGACCTTATGTAAGTTGAAGATATATTCATGAAAATGCGAAAATCCAAAAATGTTTTGAAATTAAATGCATTCCTGATTTTTAAATGAGTTTTGAAAACGCGCCTTTTCATATAAGACTTGCGCATTCTTCCAAGTTGGATTCACTCGTACAATAAGTGAAAGCTCAATATTTTGGCATTTTTTCTTTCTTAAAACTTTTAAAAACAGCACTCTTGACCCACAAAAAAATTGGTGTATCACCCCGATGACGTAATTTTTCAGGGTCCTCAAACGCGGTACTGAAATTTCAAGAGTGAGTGGACACGAGAATTTGGCCAACGTTTTCGTGTCGTAAAGAAGCAGGAATTCGTTTGAAACGGAAAAAAATTGGAAAAACATGTTTAAGACAATGTGAGAATTTGTTCTAAATTGGTCTGTAATCAGGCATTAGGGGCACTTTAAATACAAAACTGACCAATCAGATAACAGTTTAATATAGACAGAGATTGAACTGATAACGGCATTAGCCAATCAAATTATCTTGTTCCCATGCTCTTATTGTTTACTGTCAATCATGTGACTTTTTGGAGTTCACTGGGGGTGAACAAGCAGTTGACTGGGGGGCAACTAGCGGATGTTAAGTCAAAACATGTCAAAATAAGTCCTCAAACTATTGTATTTGACTATTTCTAAAACATGAAACCAGAAAACAAGAGATCAAATTAAACAACTCCAAGAATCTACAAGCCATAAAAAACACAGCTATTACTGGAAGTGACGTTTATTGATAGCAGCAACCTATTATATCGATGCGCTTTCTGATTGGCTGGCTAAAAATATTGAATTAAATGTCGCACTATGATTGGTTAATGATACTAGTTTATCTAGTGTTCCCAGTTGGGGTATATGCACAGTAACATTTTCCAGGAGTTAACAGATCAAGCAAAAATTACCATAATAACATTATATTCAAAACTAGAATTTATTTCTCATATTATAAGACTTAATAAAGTATTGTAGGTTCTGATAATGATTAGTTTATTCCTTACACCAAGCTGGATGAACAAATCGCAAGTATATATTTTTATAAAAGTATTCCCTTAAAAAAAAAAAAATTATTTATCATATATTCTCATCACGTCAGTGAGTGCGTAGCAGCATGATCAGAGCACCTACTCATCCCACCCCTCCYTTGCTGGGAAGTAAAGTATTTCCTTTGGGGAGGGGGAGGTAGAGTAGTGGCTAGACAGCATCTTGTAATAATTTTTAGTTTATAAATTTTTAGTGCCTCRTTTAAAAAAAAGTTTTAAAAAGTTTCTGTTGATTTGTACATATTTAAAAATGTTGTGAAAATGTCATCCAAGGTTGTTTTTCAATTTTATAAAGTTCTAACAGATTGCAAAGGTACATTTGTGTCTGACAGTCTGTAGAACATCATTGAATTATTTAGCCATACATGACACAATTGTTAGCAACTAGAAAAAGAAGTGTCTTTGATATATCACTGTTAGTGAATTCATGCAGATAGTAGTACAGTGTTTTCAATTTTTCCTCTAAAGATTGTTCACAATAAGGTTTTGTTTTTAACCATCAACATGCAGGTAAAAAGCACCAGGATTAAGCTTTCCTCCTTAAGTTATTCATGTACTACCATTATTAATCCTCCAAAATGGAATATGATAAACTGTTTCAGAAAATTTACTTCCTTGAACTTCTGATTAAAATTCTTGCAGATAAAAGTTGTGAGAAGCACACATACAAGGGAAAGAAGCCAGGAACTTCCTTGTAGTTTTTTGAAGCATTCTCCCTGGGCTACRAACTAGGACCTTTTATTCCCTTGAACAATTTTTTTACTTAAATCTGTATAAATTGCAGGTGTACTGTCAAGAATATTTGATTCCTTGGATAGATGAACTTCTAACTGCCTTAGTCGACATATTTCTCTTTACTTTTGTGCCCATTGATATTTTTCTTGGTCTATATGAAGATCCTGTTCTCTTAAATGGAATAGGAACAGACAAGTCTTTGACRGCAGAAGGTATGGAGGTGAGAGAAACTGATAGGTTAGAGGGATTCTCAAGGGAGCGTATGTCACCACTGCTTGAGCTCAGCGGACCAGGTTTGATTGTATCTGTATTAGTGATACGGTAATGCAGTGCTTTGTCAGGAAGGGTTGATGTACCCTTGCCATACACTTCTAGTATGGCTTCTAAAAACTTCATAAAGAGTTGTGCTCTGTTATTCTGTCCACTTTGTTCCTGAAACAATTCAAAATGGAATAAAATAAGCAGAGCCATAATAATCATGATAATTTATTAATGGAAGTGGATGAATAGGTCTCCAGTTCTGCCGATGTTGCAAATACTTTGATCCGGATTTCAGATTCAAAGTAAAACATTTTTTGCTTATAACACAGAAAAAAATTGAATTACACGTGGCTGATTTGGTTAGCTAATAGGCCTGCTCAACCAATAAATCCTTATTTGGAATTCTGTATATTTATATTCTATTTAGTGCTGTTCTTCACTCACTCGCTGGTTGAGGTCCATATGGACCACAGAATGAAGGTTTCAACCAAATTTCAAAAAGTACTTGAGAATTAATGCAGAGAAAGTGAGTAAAAAGATGCAAACTTATACATTCTGCRAGATGTTTATATGGATATTTTCATAACAGGTTGATATATATTTGTTCAAACACGTCTTACCTTGAATTTAGTGAAGTGGCTAAACCCAGTGAATCCAAATGCTGAATATCAATAAAAAGAAACATTATTTTTGAAATCTCTTCAGGTGCTCTCCCTATTAAGCATTCCTGTTACATGTTGAAACTTTCTGGTAAAACGTCTGTGCTACTGGATTCTGTGACATCTTTAAGGGAAGGTACATTTTTAATGGAGGAGGGGTTTGGGCTTCAGAGGGGAGTGTTTTTTTCAGAAAAAAAATGTTAACTTTTATGGAGGGCCAAACGTTTTCATCTTGATGAAAGCTATCTCTTTGTTAAGTAAAAGGGTGAGGTCTACAACTTTACCCCCCCTCAAAAAAAACCCTCAAATCTTCCCTTATGAGAAATGTTTGAATGCTCAGCTTTGCAAATGTTTGGTAAGCAGGCCTAAGGAGAAAGTATGACAACTTTCTACCAAAAAACACTTCCAGCCATTCTAATAACAGTGAAAAGATGGAAACCTTTTCTCATTAACAGAGACTCTATAGAAACATTACAAGCCAGAAGGGATTAAACTATACTTACAGGCCAAAAAATTGTGTCTGAGATGATCATCTGATGGTTTGGAGGCTGTCACTGAGTGAATAATAGTTTGAATGGCTTGCAACGTATGTAAATCTTCAGAATGGCCAAGAACTGTGCTAAGATTTGAATCAAGTTGATAGAAACTATGTAAAATAAAAACAAAAAGTCAGTACTTGTCGTATCACCTTGTTGAAAACCATTTTCAAGAGCTGAAGCTGAAGGAGGGCTTTTTATGTTGCTTCTGTTTTGGTCATGGTCATTTCTGCTAATTTTGCTCCACCTTCTGTTGTGGTAGTAGTTGTTGGTAGTGCTGTTGCTTTTGTTGTGGTTGCTGTAAGTTTTAGTTTTTGCAGTTGTTATATTTGCATGTTGCTGTTGTTGTGGATGCATGTTGTTGTTGCTTTTGTTGTGAGAAATCATTTCTGTTCTTGTAATTGTAATTCTTGCTGTTGTTGCAGTTGTTGCAGTTGTAGTTGTAGTTGTTGCTGTTGTTGTAGTTGCTGTTTTTTTAGTTCTCAGACATGGAAATCATTCTAATTTTTGTCTTCATTCTTACCAGTGTAGTAAGCAACAATGCCTGTGTGTGGTTGTCGTTAACAATCCCAGGATCAAGTAGCATATGTTGGCACTCTGAAGGCCATTCAAAAGCTTGTCCCTCAGGAGGTGCCTCATCAGCTAATGGTGATTGCGAAGGAGTAATAACGATAGACACACGACTATCCACCGACAGTGTTGATCCTGGGGTGATTTCTATCTTGGACCTTGAGGTGTGTCCCAGAGGCATGGGTTCTGGTGTCTCAGGGGTATTGCCTGGTTTCAGTCTACTACGGATGTCCTCTGATACAGGTATTAAGGCTAATCAAAGAATAAGCAAATAATGATGAGGCTTCAACAAATTTAATCCAGGAGTCAACTTGGTGCTCCTGACACTAAAGAAAAACGTTTGTGCATGCATGCATTTTAGCACGTTTTCTAAGAATTTTGAAGAGTTTGAGTGAGAAAATAAATGTTTGTTTCCTCCAAGTATACTAAAACCTTCGAGACTATACTTTTGTCAGACCAAGATACTGTATTAAGAAACACAATATGAAAGAATTAGTCTTAAGTTTCAAGCATGGACACTAAGTTTTGGCATTTTGTAAAGTCCAATTTATCACGCATGTTTGAAAGTCAAATTTACATACGTCGACTAATTTGCATACGGATTCAGAGCATGTGCAGACGTTTTTAACTCGTGTAGGTGCTCGTATTGCTCACGCCAAATTTTCGCGCATCTACTGTGCGCAACATAGTATTGCTGTTTGTTGCCAGATTTACTGAAACTTATAATCAATGTGATGCACCTGCAAATGATTACTGTTAAGCGTGACTTTTAAGTTTAAGTTTTAAAAAACCTCTCTAAAAAGTTTTCCATAAATTAAACATTGTTTTATCTAGGCTTCATAAAGGTTTGGGATAACGCATTTAGAAATTCGGGATGCTAAAGTCTGCTATAGGATAGGGTTGTAGCCACCAGCGCGGTTGTTCCTGTTTTGACCTCACCACTTTTAAACATCAGAACCATCCCCCCTCCCCCCTCATAAAAAAATCTATTACACAAGTAAATAAGAAAACCGGACCACCTTTTTAAAATGAACCAATATCTAACAGAAATCAAACATGTTTTCTTTAAAATCACAGTCATTTTTTAACACCTCTCAGCTAATTCCCGATTCCTGAACCACCCAATGTCCAAGCATTCTCACCCAATACCTAAACCACCCAGTGTCCAAGCATTAATTCCACCCGAATCCTTCCTTACCTGCAAGGTATGCTAGGTTTTCTTTGGTCACGGCAAACTTGTTTCTACTAAAATAAAAAATGTTGGAAGTCAGCTGAGAATATTATGTTGAATGGATGTGAAGTTAATGCAAGATATTCTTTACCACTGTTTGTGCTTGCTAGTGATGTCCAACATCAAGTTCAGGATACGGATTGCTCGAGCCGCTGTTGTTGCTTGCGGATGATAAACACCTGGAAGTGTAAAGCAAGGTGGGCAGTGATTAGAAGGTCAATGAGATGTAGGTAGATGCACAGACATACAGGACAGACAGAGAGACAAGATAGACTAAAGAGAGTAGAGAGAGGAACAGAAAGGACAGGAGAGACAGACATAGATAAAAAAAACTAACACAAGAAAAAACACGGTGAAGAACAGAGTAACTTAATATCACGTCACTCAGGGAAGGGCGAGTAAAGGAAAGCTAAAGCCGCTACATCATTTGTGTCACTTTTACTTTTTTTACAAAAAAATCGATTGCTTTTCCCAGTGGAATAACACTAAACAGAGACAAAGACGGAGACGGAGACGGAGACGGAGAATGAGACGGAGAATGAGACGGAGAATGAGACGGAGACGAAGAATGAGACAGAGGCAGAGACAGAGAGACAAAAGGCAAACGAATATGCAGCAATGTTAAATCTTTCTATAGAGCATATGCATTCAGGGAAAATAAAATAAATGAAATGAATAGATTCTTTACTGACCTTTGACAAGATGCCCCATTAAAGCAAAGTGGAAATTACCATAGAAACTGACACCCACAAAATGGTCCATCTGTTTGCAGTGGAACTCTAGTAACGGTTCTTTCCTGACGGCCATCAGTGCCTCTTGCATCTAAAACAAAGATTTCTCTTATCTATTTATCATTTATTTTATTATTATAAGATTACTTATATCTCAAAAGTATGATTCCACGGGAAGGGTTCTCCTTCCGACAAGTTTCTTTCATACGGTACAAGGTTTTTTTCATGGGGGTAGGAAAACCAGAGAAAAACCCACATGACAAGGGAGAGAACGACTGATCAAACAAACTCAACTCAGAAGTATAAATACCATCGACTGCCTTTCGTTTTCTCACTGGACTCACAAGATGACTTCCTCTCAGGTTGTCAAAACGTAAGTCACCACCAATAACAGTCTTTCTCAAGACACACTCACCCAGTCGATCACACATTAGATAAATAAATAAATCACTTTTATTTAAGTGTCTAGTCGTTCTAGCGCTTTCGCACTAATTGGGGACACTTTTCACTCACACGCACTACCACTACATTTAATACTCCATGCACACAACGCTCAACTCACATGTTGATTTTTACGGAGGGAGGAAACCGGAGAACCCGGAGAAAACCCTCGTAGCATAGGAGAGAACAACAACTCAATTCACATGTGGCGACCGCAGGGCTTGAACCAGCGACCCGACCCGCTGGACTCACAGCGGTGGAAGACGACACGTTAGCCGCGAACGCCACCCATGCTACCCATTACAACAAACTTTAACGTCACCTGAGTTAAACCATTAACTCTGAAACTTATCTTACACATGCAGTTTAGGGAGGCATTGCCTGTTAAGAGCCTAGTTTAAGTTCTGTCAAGTTCTTCAATGGACAGCTTGCATCCATAACAGGTCACATGACCCTATCCCTAAAAACGAGCGTTCGTGTCACAATGAACAGAGGTAAATTCACGTGACCTTTTAGCGCAAGTCGTTCATTCTTTCAAAGTTCTCTCGTGTTGTAGCTGAAAATAAGGGATAATTAACATGTACGTTCATCTTACCGATTGTGTTTCGAATGCTCCATGTGAGTCAAGTGTTAGGAGACTCTGCTCTAATAAAGCCAGGCCACACGGGTACAAGGAGAGCTCTGATAACTAGGACACATAAAACAACATTATCAGTAATTAAAACAAAAAATATGGTTCTTTTTCCCAACCTCTCGGCCGATCCAATGTTTGACATCATTGAGTTGTTGGGCAGACTCCCTATTGGAGTCTGGAGTTTTAAAACACAGTTCATGTAATGCGAAAATTTGCCTTGTATATTAAATGGGCTTAGCAGAGTTACCTGTAAGACAGCTATTGCGACCCAGAAGAACGCCTTGTGGAATTTAGATTCCTAGTAAAACAAGAAAGTGAGGCATAAGGTGTGGCTTTTATACATAGATGGAGTGTGAATCAATTTATGTGTTGGATTACCTTGCCTAGTATGGCCTGAACTCTATTGAGACACATGACAGCTGATTCAATTAGCACTAGGTCTGTGTAGTTACTGAGGGCCTGAGCAGCAAAAAAACATGTATAGGAATAAGCATGGGTAATGGGTAAGCATAGGACAGGGGTATGAGTATGAGTATGAGTATGGACAGGGGTGGGGGTAGGGGTAGGATAGGCACAGAGGTAAGGGTAAGGGTAGGATAGGGGTAGGATAAGGGTAAGGGTAGGACAGGTACAGGGTTAAAAGGTAGGGGTAGGACAGGAGCAGGAGCAGGGGCAGGGATAAGGACAGTGGCAGGGATAAGGCTAGGGGTATGAGTATGGATATGAGCATGGGTGCCAGTATGGGTGTGGGTTTATTTATAGGTATAGGCGTAGGTATAGGACATCATCATACTCATATAAAAAAAGGCATCTACTCACTACTATAAGGACGTGTAGAATCCGTTGAACCATAGTATCATCAGCCTCCTTACTGATGCATCCAAGTACGACTATAGTTCTTGGTTGTAAAGCAGGATTGAATTGGAAGGCGAAGCTAAATGACAAAAACATTTTTCTTATTAATTTATTAGTTCATTTGCAGTCCAATAGCGCAGCGCACTGATTCTAAAAATAGCTTAAAGATTCGGACAAACATTGCATTCTGTTTAACCACTACGAGGATTATACGAACCGATTTTATTATTTTTACTTAAAGTTACAATAATAACCCATGTAAACTAAGATCAACTGCGATCGGCTGTGAAAATTATCTGCTGAAAGTAAACTTGCAAGTTTGTTTGTCCGAATTTCGCCTTTGTCTTCGTTATTATGACGTCACGGCTGTGCTGCGCTATAGAGCAGGTTTCATGATTCATTATAAATTGAAGTTGTCTCTGACTTGTGAAATGTATGATTTTTAAACAGAGATTTCGGTCTAAACAAAGACCTTTATCAGTGTAACTGAAAATATTTGCACAGCAAGTGTATGTTACGTCATTGCCGCCATCTTGGTTGACGATAACAAAGCATTCCTCATTAGTTTCTAATGTTAGGTCAACCAAGATGGCGACTGTTTCATTGTTATTAAATTATTTCACATTTTAGTTTGGATATAGACCAAATGCAAAACTCGCACCCGAATTAAAATATATATTAGCTATTGTGGCGCCGTTAACAATGAATGACTAATAAGAAATATTTTGTTCAATGGCAGCACCAGCGATTCCCGAAAGGCCGCCATGACGTAACGTGCAATCGAGGAATGGCATAGATTATAGTTTCATTTTATTCTTTTTAGACTTTCATTATTATTTTAATGCGCATTAATTATTTTAATTAGTTTTGCGCAATATAAATTATTGATTTATATTATTGCTATTTTATTATTTTAGGTGGAACTTACAGACACGCAGACGGCTGATATCCTCCAAATAGAAAACCAATCACGACTTGGGAAAAATTTTCTAATGAAAACAGCAGCGATTCCAAAAAAGTTACTCATATCAAGCTTTACTCTATATGTTAGTGTCGAAGTTAGAGTAGAGAAAGCTCACTCCATATATGGTATGATCAATTCCATATTTAGGATTGTGCGGAAAAGCGGCAAACAAAAAGGCCGTCGTTTTATGACGAATTCGACATGAATATTTTTGAAGAAGAAAAGAAAAGAAAAAAAGACAAGTAAAAAAAAGAAAAACTTTGGAAAATCGAGGAAGGATACGGGGACGATGCTAACTCGTGGGTCTGCCTCGCAGACAACAGACACAGGGAAATACGACACTCAATGTTTGATATGAAAAAAAAACCTTCTGCTAATTCAACTGCTTAACAGCTTGCATTAAAACTGACCATTGAATATCGTCAAGACTTTAGATAACTGAATACGGTGCTGAGAGAAACAATCGAAAACTGAACAAAGTACAGATGGTGCAAATATCTGCATCTGGATGTCCTCTGAATCGTATAATTATGGATTTTTTAAACAGTTGAGTTAAATAAGGGAACTTTATTTTGACTGTCAAAAAGTTCCGGCCAATTTTTATTTTTATTTATATATTTTAGTCGAATTGCTTGGATCTTAGTCGTTGGTACTGTATAGTTGTTATTTTTGTTTTGAATTATTGGAATAGCATGGCAAGAAAAAGCGACACTCACAAAGTGGATCAGGATGAACCCAAGAAATTGTCCTAACTTTGGAGTGAGGGTAGAAGGCTCACAAACAGGTATTCGGCTAAAACCATGTTGTSGAAAACTTGAGTTATAAACATTTCTTAACTTTTTCGTTTGCTAGAGTTTTTGCATGTCTTAAAAGACATTGGAAGTGGCTTAATTTTAGTATTGAAGAGAAATAGCTGTTTGTTTTGTTTTACAGGAATAGTAGATTGGGACCACTTGCGTAGGCTCGGGAAGAAGAAGAAGGATCGCCATGCGATTGAAAAAGTGATTGCGGTCTTAGAATCTGGTAAGTTTAACAAAAAAGTTTTAAAAATGTGCAGAATAGAGTTTGGAAAGCGAAAACAAAGTGAATAATAATGAATAAAATTATAATGGCGCCAATGGTGCAGATTTCGAAACAAAAAACCGAGATTGCCAAGGTTCGATGAATGTTCACCAAATAATGATTTTAAACCATATTTATGATCGAAAATTAAATAATTTTAGAAATGCGCGGCGAAGACATAGTTTTAGGATGTCGTTCCTAGATGTTCAAATGGGAGATTATCGCTCTATTTTTCGGCTTTTTTGCGCATTTTGATGAATCGCTTCCAACTTTCAGTCAGCGATCTTTGAAGATGTTTATTTTCTTAAATCGTCCATTCATCAAACCGAGCTGCTAATGAAAAGAATTCAAGCTTTTAAAAACATTGAATCATTTTAATTTTCTTAACAGGGCTCGGTAAGCTCAATCTGAAGAAGACATCTGACACAACAACATGCCGAGTTGTAACAAAAAGTTGCGCGAGATGAGAATGCCAAGCATCAATTAAGCTGAACATGCGACAACGAAAAACGAGGAAGCCATTCACTTCTCGGGGCGCTGTGACCGCAGCGAACTAGATAGAAGGGAAGGTATAGGCTATTTCGTGGGATTCAAAACGACATCCCGAACCCTAACCTTAACCCGGTGGCTTCAGACGAAGGTGACGTCATTTAATTCGGGATGTCAGTGTCACGTGATATAGCCAAAAGGAAGGTGGGTGTTTCTAGCAGTCGAAGGGCCTTTTAACGTTGGTAGCTTATTATGGTAAGTCTATACTAAATTTTWAAAATATTTTTCACAAAATCTATCACTGATAATGTTAATAATAATTTCTGTTTTTCAAAGCCAGTATGTCGGTCGAATTTAAGAACATATTTTCAGATTATTGCGTCTCTCTTAACTCGGTTATGGCTGCCACAACGTAAATTGTGTCATGCATGTATTGTTTCTCAGCCATTTCATTGTTTCGATATTAAGACAACTCACAAAATATTTAGTAAAGAGACTATCCATTGCGATAAGCAAGATCTAATGTCGGTAATGCTTTTATCATACAACTGATGAAGTATAATTTTATATTTTTCGTTTGCAAGTCTTTCCTTTCGCTGTGTTGTTGTACTACGGTTGTAAGCTTAAATTTATCCGAGCCTCAAATGCAGTTCAAATGCGGTTTTTATTCATAAAATGTTGTCTTCTTTTGTCGAGAGTTTTAGTGAGGAGGCTTTTATGATCAGCCTTCTTCAATAGAAGGTTCAGTTGGACAAGATTACGGTTTTCTTTCCGTATGCGGGATGAATGGGGAAGCGGTTTTTCTTTGATGTTTTTCTAGGGAAATTGGACAGTGATAAATGACGAATCTTTTTTCCTTTCTGCAGAAAAACGAAGCAAAATCCCCAAAGTTCTCATCACGTTGCATGCAAGTAAGTGGTACTAGGGTAATGGAACTCCTTAGTGATCTTTTTGAAGCCATACTTTTATTAATACACGATATATCTTTCTTTTTTGCAGAGGAATGAAGTAAAAGGATTGCAGCTCTCATCACGTGGCATGCCAGTAATGCAAGAA